TCAATTAGCTGTTAGCTGTTTATATTAAAGTGTTTGGTAAAACAACTGTTTGACATTAGCTGTTTATACATAAAATCACTATTAAGGACATTAATATGTTATTTTTTATAATATTTAATTTTGTTTATTTTGGTTTGAAATTTATGAGACTTTTTGTTATTAATTATTGAAAATTATAAAAATATTATAAAATATTTATTTTTATTTTTATTATTTAAATCCGAGAAAATTATTTTTACTAAAAAATAATAATTTTTATTAAAATTATGTAAAATATAAAATAATAAATCTTTCGTATATATATTTTTATTATGTTAATTATTATTTTAATATATATAAATAAATTAATAATCTTTGTTTTTTCTATTTGTTTTATTTTTAAATTATATATTTTACATATAAAATAATTTATATCTAATAATTAATAATAGTAATTATTTTAAATTTACAAAAATAAAAATAAAAATATAATTTAATAAATTAAATATATTAAAAATAATTAATAAATACTACTATAAAAATATATTTATATGTAAAAAATAAATAATTAAGTTTTAAGGGTAAATAAGGAATAACCAAAATTAAAATGAAAAAACTCTTTCAAAACGCTGGGTAGATGAGTTTTTCAGAAATTAGTTTTTTGGGTCCAAAAAGCTCTTTCAAAAAGCTAATTTACCAAACACCTAAATTAACGTTTTGACTGGTCAAACAGCTAAAAACTGTTCAATTAGCTAAAAGCTCTTCAAAACGCTGTTTCCCAAATACCCCATAAATTATACTTTTATTGTTTTTAAACTAACATATATTAATAATTTTGCAACAATTTTTTTATTTGCGTCATTATTTTTTTCTTATCAATTCGTTAATAAATTTATCATAATTTCGTATTTTTTTTTTTATCTGACATTATTTCTTAATTTTAGTATCCAAATAGCTTTGCTGACTTTGAGATATCTCAGTAATCTCCTATTGCTCCACAATGCAACAATAAGAGTGCTATATGGATCTCTCTTAACGACATTTTTAATGAATGTAACAAACACATCAAAATTGATTGTCCTATCGTTCATCATCATGTTGTTCATGAAAATATCAAATTGTGTTACCACGCTCTTTGTATCAATTTGTTTTTTATTTCCTCACAATTAAATTTATCATTTTATACACACAATTATTACAAAATATTGAATTTATTTAGTTTTTATTTGAGTTCGAATTTTAGGATAATATTTTTCGAATAAAAAAAAAATATATTTTTAATAAGTATATGAATTAATAAATAGTGTTGAATTTGGTTTTAGAGCTAAACATTAAAACTTCCTCAAATCCAAATCCCAATAGTCTTTCTCTTATCTGTTTTCTCATCCATTTATATTCAAATCAATATTATTTATTCAATACGTTTTCAATGATAATATAATATTCTCTCCCACAAAATATAACATAAAAATGCTCTATCCCTCCCATAAAAAAAAAAATATATATATTTGTATTTTGAGTTGTCCAAATGATAAAAGAACATTTAAAAAATACTATTATATTTTTACAAATACTCATACTTTACCATCACACCAATACTTTTACATAAAAAACGAAAAAAAAAAATTATTTATACCCTATTTTTAATAATATACTACAATTAAAATACTACTCCCTCCGTCCCGCAATAAGGGTGGCGTTTGCTTTTTGCACGTAGATTTTTTAATATTAGTATTATATTGGATTGTAGTAAAAAAGATAAAAATACCCCTATTAGTATAGTGTAATATAAAAGTAATGTCATTTGTGTAATATATTGTAAATTAAAAGGGTATTTATTATGTGAAGTACGTAGTACTATTACTAAATTAGGAAATGGTAATCTTGTTTTGGGACGGACGAAAATAAAAAATGGTAACCTTTCAATGGAACGGAGGGAGTATTATTTTTTAAAATCAACACCTTCAAATTGACACAAGAGTGTTAGAAATTATGGGGGAAAATAATGAGATTTTCTTATTGATCATCAAAATAAGGAGCCTATATATAGGCAATACAAACATACTTGATAAACTCAAATCTAAGTAATCTAATATATGAATAAGATCAAATTTAGATATAAATCTACTAAATCTAAAACTGAATATCTAAAATATCTCAACATCCCCCTTCAAACTCAAGTGGTATAACATTAACCAACTTGAGTTTGATAAGAAATTTGAATATAGACGCAAAAAAGAAAACATAAATAAAATTAGTAGTTGACTCTCCACCCACCGGAGCAAAAAACGAGATGACTCTCCACCGGAGTCGAAAACGAGATGACTCTCCACCGGAGCAAAAAACGAGATGACTCCACCGGAGCAAAAAACGACATGACTCCACCGAAGCCGAACATGAGATGACTCTCCACCGGAGGCGAAAACAAGCCGAAAATGAGATGACTCCACCGGAGCCGAAAACGACACGACTCCACTTGAGCCGAAAAATGAGATGACTCCACCGGAGCCGAAAAACAAGATGACGTTCCACCAGAGCAAAAAATAAGATGACTCTACCGGAGCCGAAAAACGAGATGACGCTTCACCGGAGTCGAAAACGAGATGACTCTCCATCGGAGTCGAAAACCATATGACCACTGAAGCCATGGAAAACGAGATGACTCAACCAATAGGTATAACATTAACCAACTTAAGTTTATTAAGAAATTTGAATATAAACGCAAAAAAGAAAACATAAATAAAATTAGTAGTTGAATCTGCACCCACCGGAGCAAAAAATGAGATGACTCTCCACCGGAGCAAAAAACGAGATGACTCCACCGGAGCCGAAAACAATATGACTCAAGCGGTGCTGAAAACGACATGACTCCACCGAAGCCGAACACGAGATGACTCTCCACCGGAGGCGAAAATAAGTCGAAAATGAGATGACTCCACCGGAGCCGAAAACGACACAAGTCCATTTGAGCCAAAAAACGAGATGACTCGACCGGAGCCGAAAAACAAGATGACGCTCCACCGGAGCAAAAAAGGAGATGACTCTACCGGAGCCGAAAAACGAGATGACGCTCCACCGGAGTCGAAAACGAGATGACTCTCCACCGGAGTCGAAAACCATATGACCACTGGAGCCGTGGAAAACGAGATGACTCAACCAAGTGGTATAACATTAACCAACTTGAGTTTGATAAGAAATTTGAATATAAACGCAAAAAAAAAAAACATAAATAAAATTAGTAGTTGACTCTCCACCCACCGGAGCAAAAAATGAAATGACTCTCCACCGGAGTCGAAAACGAGATGACTCTCCACCGGAGCAAAAAACGAGATGACTCCATCGGAGCCGAAAACAATATGACTCCACCGGAGCCGAAAACGACATGACTCCACCGAAGCCGAACACGAGATGACTCTCCACCGGAGCCGAAAACAAGCCGAAAATGAGATGACTCCACCGGAGCCGAAAACGACAGGACTTCACCGGAGCCGAAAACGAGATGACTCAACCGGAGCAAAAAACGACATGATTTCACCGGAGCCGTTGAAAACGAGATGACTCAACCAGAGCCGAAAACAAGATGACTCTACTTGAGTCGAAAATCACGTGACTCCACCGGAACCGAAAACCACATAACTCCACCGGAGGCGAAAACGAGATGACTCCACCGGAGCCGAAAAACGAGATGACTCCACCGAAGCCTAAAACGACATGACTCCACTGAGGCCGAAAACGACATGACTCCACCGGAACCGAAAACAGACAAATCGCAAACATCGGACAAATCAGATCGCACGCAGGCAACAGACAAACAACGGACAAATGGCAAATAATAGACAGATTTTCGGCAACAAATAAGGAATGAAAGATGGCAGATCGCACGCAAGCAACAGACAGATAACGATAGATGGCAGATCGCACGTAGCAACAGACAGACAACGACAGATGGCAGATCGCACGCAGCAACAGACAGGCAACGACAGATGGCAGATCGCATGCAGCAACAGACAGACAATGGACGTATGACAGATCGTTTCAGATCGCTCGCAGGCAACAGACAAGCAGCGAAGATTTCAGATTGCACACAGGCAACAGACAAGCAACGTACAAATGACAGATCGGAGACGAGACGTGACAGATTTGCAAAAAGACAACTTGCAAAGGCATGATCTCGAAATCACAAGACCTCCGGGTACAATCCAGGTTGAATGTACCTGGAGAAACACGGGTTGGTAGGCTATATCTAAGGCATAAAAAAAGTAGGCTCTGATACCATGTTAGAAATTATGGGAGAAAATAATGAGATTTTCTTATTGATCATCAAAATAAGGAGCGTATATATATAGGTAATACAAAACATACTCGATAGACTCAAATCTAAGTAATCTAATCTATGGATAAGATCAAATCTAGATATAAATTTATTAAATCTAAAACTGAATATCTAAAATATCTCAACAAACAGTATCATTTAAATAAAAATTTGAATTAACTTTAAACCACAAACAAATAATTATGGATCGGATTTCTTTTGAAATAATTATTGTTGGGTCTCTATACTTCCCGATAATTAAAAAACCAAAAAAGAAGCATACCTCAGGTGTGTCTGTTTGTAAGTTTTAGTTTTTGGGTTTGGATTTTTGAATAGTAAAAAATTGAATTTGAATAATTGTTTGATGTGATATATATAAACGTTGATGTGTGATGTTTTGAATGTAAAATAAATTTATAGTAGTATAATATAGAAGAAAAAATAATTATTTAATTTAATATCTTAGAAAGAAAAAGAAAATATGAAGAATAAAAACCTTCTAGAAAAAACCCCCAAAAAAAACACAACCGGAGAGATTCTCTACTTCCTTTTAAATAAGCCCTAAATACATCGCTAAGCCATACTCCATATCCCTCAAAACTCAACTCCAAAACTCTCAATCTTCCTAACTGGAATTCTTACAATTCTGTCTCCATAAACCCTAAAAATCCATTTCTAAGGCAGCCATTAATGGTCTTAGTTCCCTGAAATGGAGAAATCAGGAAACCCTAAAAGCCTTTGCTCAAGAGCCACCGCCGACAACTTCGTCGACCAACAGACCAACTGGTACGACCAGATCCTCGGCAAATACGGCGGCACTTGGTATTCCGACCAACTACTCCGATCCATACTGTCAGCCCGCAGCAACTTCAAAGCCAAAGAAGGCGACGTAATGGTGACGTCACTTCCCAAATCAGGGACAACATGGCTGCTTGCCTTAACATTTTCCATAGCCAAACGCAGCCTTATCCCGCCGGGGCAGAGCCCGCTCCTAACTGCCAACCCACACGACCTCGCCTGCAATCTCGAGTTCAAACTCTACTGGGAAGAGGACAACCCTAACCTCGACGGAATCCCGTGCCCTAGAATCTTCTCCACGCACGTGCCTCACGTGATGCTTCCGGATTCTGTCCGAGAATCAGATAACTGCAGAATCATTTATATTTGCAGGAACCCTCTGGACCGGTTCATTTCGCTTCGCCATTTCTTGCTTGCGAACCGGGTGGTGAAGGAGGCGGCGGCGCCGCCGCCGCCGCTCGCCATGGACGAGGCTTTCAACGAGTTCTGCCAGGGGATTGAAATGTACGGACCGTTTTGGGAGCATGTTCTCGGATATTGGAAGGAGCATTTGGAGAATCCGAGGAAGTTGCTGTTCTTACACTACGAGGAGATGAAGGAAGACCCAGTGGGGCATGTCAGGAAGATTGCTGAATTTCTGGGGTATGCAATAATTAGGGGGATTTATTTAGAGGATAATTTGATTTAAAATTCCTACACATTTTCTATTGATAATATGCAATCCCTTAAACCATTTTTAACATTACTTAATTGCCGCAGTAGATATAAATATACACTACATATACAAAATAAACCTCACAGAACATACTGTATTTTATACGATATATATATTTATATATATAACAATATTTTCGTATATTATTTTATGGTGCTCATAAGTCCCCAGTCAGCACCCTTTAATCGAAGCGCTATGTACCTACTTTTATTGTTTATTATACTCCATTTTCTAATGACAATTTATGCTTTTTTTTTTTAAATATTTTGGTTTGTTAATTATATTGAATTTACTGCTTATTTAACACTACTACACATTGATATGATATTTGGAGAAACAATAGTTTGACCTCTTCTATAGAGTTTAAGATTTATTATTATTATTATAATTATTATAGATTGAATAATATATGTTTCATCAAATTTATAACTAAGTTCAGCTTGATTTTGATTTTGAGCTTGTGATAAACATAATCAATGTTCAACCGCAGATGTCCCTTTACGGCTGAGGAAGAAAAACAAGGCATGGTTGACGAAATCTCAAGGCTATGTAGTTTTGAGAGTATGAAAAATATGGAGGCCAACAAAGAAGGATATGTTTACAAGCAATTTAAAAAAACTTCCTTCTTTAGAGAGGGTAAAGTTCACAATTGGAGCAATTATCTTTCACCCACAATAGCCAAAGGTATGGAAAAGGTCATAGAAGCCAAGTTTAAAGGGTCAGGCTTGAATATGAAAACCAGATTCCAAATTGACAAAGAAATGAACTAAATCTATTTCCGATGTATAAAAAAAAAAAAAAAAACGCGATACACGAATATATATTCACGTTGAATTGATCGAATTTTATTGTACTCAAAATAAGAAAATTATGCACTTCTCATAATAATTTTATTGTTTCGATGTATTTACTGATAAAATTATGCACTTAAAAAAGTGTGTTTGTTTGAAGGTTTTTGAATTTTAGATTGTGATTTGAATAGTAAAAATTCTGAATTTGAATAGTTATACGATGTGATATAAATAAGTATTGATGTGATGTTTTGAATGTAAAATTGATTTTTAGTATAATATATAAAATGAAGAATTGACATTCGATTTGATATTTTTTTAGGACAAAAATTTGTGTAAACAGTGGAAGTCTTCCAAAATCCTTCAAACAAACACATCCTAAATTGTTGAAACTCTCAATACAATAAATATATATAAAGACCATTGTAGATAATATAATAGGTGGAGCTTACAAATTTAATGTAATAGCATGCTTATAGGAGAGAACAAAATTAATGAAGAAGAGCTCAAAAAACCAAATAAACAGTGGGTGTGTTTGTCTTTTATTTTCAAATCATAAAACTCCATTATTTACTGTGCATATTTTTAATAAAAATATACTATTATTTTTATGAAGTCTTATATAAAAATATTGTTTAAATAAAAAAAAAATCAATTAAAATTTTAAATCAAAACCTAAAAAACACACATACTCCTTTCCTTTGTTAACACAAAAGACACATATTGGAGGACAATATTATAAATTTCATAGTATGTATTTAAATGCAATACAAGCTCACCCACATTATTGGCCTTAAGTTTAGAAAGTTATGCATGTTAATTAGTATAGGGATAATCAATACAAATATTAAATATATCTACCGCTAATCACTATTTTATACTCCATCCGCCTGCCTCTAAGGTTACATTTATCTTTTGCGTCATTGTATTTAACATTAAAAATATCTTTATATTTGTATAATTTTTTTTTACAAATGTCTTTATATTAGTACTATAAGACACTAATTGAAGTATTTTTGCAATTTTTTCTTAATTTGTACTATATTTTGATACAATTAAAAAGTAAATGAGACCTTTAAAGCTGGAAGGAAGTAGTACACTGTATATACAGATTTATATTGTATTAATGTATGTGTAGTATGTGTGTTAATTTACATATATGTATGGATGTAAGTGTATGGCGGTTTGTATAAATAGTATTATATATATGTATGTTATGATGAGTTTTTTTTTTAATGTCGTGGTAACCCGCAGTCGCTATCAGAAAGTGCGCACTAGGTAAACCTACGGCCGAACCTAATACCCTGCAAACTAGGCCCGACGGGAAAGTCACATATGATGAGTTTTGTATCTATAGCAGTGGCGGACCTCACTACCAAAAAAATAGCTATTTGTAGCGGCTTTAAAACTGCTACAAATGGCCATTTTTCGTTATAAAAAGCTATTTGTAACGATTTTGTACCGAAATTTGGCCGGTGCATATACTCGAGTTACAAAAAGTCTATGTACCGACATTTTCCATAACAAAAAGTGGACAGTCAACGCGCATAAGAAATCTTTTTGTAACGGTTTTTGTAACGCTAACAATGTTTTTTGATTTATTTGTAGCGGATGTTTCTCGTAATAAAAGAGTCGTTACAATAAATGTTTATGCATTTGTAATGGCTTTTGTTACGGTATAATTTTTGTTACAACAAACTGATTTTCAGAAAAATATTATAAACGACATTCATAATTTTTTGTACTGGTATTTGTAACGAACACAATTTCGCAACAAAAAGAGTATCCTTATTTTTTTAGTAATAACAAAAAAAATAGTATCGGAACCGAAAAAATAACTAGTTCGCAATACAACCATTAGTAGCACCAAGTACGCATTGTCTAGGAATATAACTAGTTTGCAATACAACCAACATATACAATCCAAAGACAAAGCATAGCAACAAACACACAAAAGGAAGCAACATATGCAAATTCAACCTACGTAAAGGACTTAGTCAGTATCAATCCACAAACAAAAGTTATCATCATAGAATTACATGCAACGCTGCATCGCCCCATGCAGCGTCAAAGTGAATATACACGGAAGTGACGCGTGACGAACGAGCTGCCAACATAGTGAAAAATTATATAAGAATTTACTTGGGAGTTGGTTAAGTTATAATCTAATGGAAAGTTATAAAAATGATTACGTACATCCTTGAATGTCCAGTTGATTGGCTCGACGTGGAGAAACTCACAGAGTGTTTGCACTTCAGATATCGTTCGTGAATTAGCGCAGCCTCCGGAACGGTAGCAGCCGTGTAAAAGGGCTTTACTATATTAATGGTATAACCTACGTACATATAAAGAAAACATGTGCATATCATCGAAAATAAAACGCAACTCACAAAATTTCATTATTTTAAAGCGGATGATCGATACTGCAACAGTAATAAATATACAAAACAATCATGACCTAAGAGATAGTAACATGTGGCTTCAAATGCATACCGAGAAAGTATATAAAACTATATATTATCCAGAAGAAATGTTTGCAAGTTTCTAGATTTCCTGCATGAATCGAAAACATAACCTATAATTATTTTTTACAAAATTGATGGAATGAATAAGAGAAGAGGCAAGGACAATAGGAAAAAATGTAGCAAAATTATTCTCATTTAGAAGTTATGACCTATCTTTATTACCAAACTCAAAAGTGTTGGCATAAAACAGTTAACCAACGGTAGCATCCTTCCGAACTGGAGCCCTTGACTATAATGCATATAGGAGAAACCACTCAGACACATTCATTAGCTGAATAATCCAACTATAAAACAAAATCGCAATACTGAATAATAGACAAGGATATTATAATTCTACCTTCTTTCAGGATATTATAGATGGACACAATATCGCCGCTAGCTGCAAATGCCTTGTCTCTCTACCTTTCAAAATTTTCCAACCATATGTTAGGCGAAAACAAGAAAATAAAATACAAGTAACTTGGGAGGTAAAAAGATAATATTCAAAACTACAAACCCAACATCCGGGTCATCTTCCCAACTTCTGTACAACGTCTGAAGCCTGTCTACCTGTGATGCACATAGATTTAAATATCATGTACTAATGAGAGCAAAATATTGAATTGATTATTAAGTAGCATTTCAGTATTCAAGATATTTCAAACTTTACCGTAAGCAAATAGATTATATTTTATGATAATTAAAAGAAAGTAATTTATAGATATAGTCAAGCCAAGGTCTTAGCTTAAAAAATACGGAACCATTTCTCTAACTATTGATGTAGTTAATCAGCTTGATTCTTAAGCATATACATGATGTTATTCTCCAATGCATTCAACTTAATTCTGAGCAATATAAATTGATTATGCTCAAGTGTAAGACAAACATGTTCAAACAATACAGGTAAATACCAAGCCCCATAAATTTTGGGCAAACAAATTCCCACAAACAAAATAGTGCAAAAGCAAACAATTCATTTTCAAGAATCACAAATAAATCCATGCAGTAGATTGAATTTTCATAAATCAACCAACAAACTTAAAGACGCACAAATTAGAAATAGATGCATGTAGCTCCTTTCACTTGGCCTAGCTCATGATATAAAAACAGGTCATTATAATGATTACCCATTACACTCAATGTGAATAAACTTATGAAATCACCAACACAAACAATCCATAAAGTTAGTGAACAATTTCTATTGTACAAACCAATTGACAAATAATAAGTTGGACTTCAGCTAGCGATAAGTTCAAACATGGCTACTGCAACAAATGAAGAAAAGTCAATCTCCACAACTGAATTGTCAGAACACAAGCTTGATTACACTTTTTCTTTACTACCTATATGAAAGTAATATTTCCTAGTGATTTTGATAATTTTCATACCTGAAATAATGTCAATTATAGCCATACTGCCGTGACTAATCAAATCTGTAAGATAAATTCTGCTAGGATTAATCCAGTATTGATGTCTGCATCCTTGTGGAAATCCAGTAATGATTATAGAATAAATCTATTGGTAGATAACAATGCATAATTGACAGGAATAAAAGATAACTTTTTAATTGTTGATACATCATAAGAAAACAGTCGAGGCAGTGCTTGCTTGCTTAGCAGAAACGTCTCCCTATATACCAGACGAACAGAGGCATAGCATCATGCATTACAAGACATAGAGAGAGTTTAGAGAAAATAACAAAGAAATAATGTTTAAAAAGTGAAATTTTAGTTAATAATAGCTAATTCATACACGATAACATTCTACACCACAAATCAACACTTCCAAAGAGCTAAACAACGGAAGCAAATTAAATCTGGAATAAAGTAAAATAAATTCCTAGGCGGCACTTCAATCAAAATTGTTCAAATTCAGCCCAAATTCCTGTTCCAAATTAGATACAAACCTCATATACATAACCCATATCATATGCAAGGATAAACAAATAAAATGAAGAACATGAGTCATGAAATCCATAATTCATTACAAAACCTAACTATATATTAAGAATAAGTTCTTTATTTTTTGCAGTAACAACACAACTCACAATTATAACCATAGAAACATCCACAATGCAAATCCAAAAGTAAATCAATGACAATAGCTATTCTATAATTAATATCCACTAACCTATTATATAATTAATAACTAACAAAATGCATCAAACTAAGATCTACAAATCAAACAAATACGAAAGTTGGAAAACCATCACAAGTAACCAATAAACTCGTGAACATATACTATTAATTAAAATTCAACAAAAAAAAAACAATACAGGAATACCAACCAAACTAAAAAATAATAATAATCATACTTTAATCTATATCAACACCAAAATACACGTACAAACCAACAAGTTATTCAAGACATATATTCATATAACCTAAATATTAAAATTATTTATCAATACTTTTGGACCAAATTAACTTAACAATTTTAACATCAACCATAACAAGAAGAAAAATAAAACAACAAAATTCAAAAAAAATGTCTCGTTTTCAGAACTTTTCACTTTTTGGGACGAAGACTAGAAACTGTAACTGATTTTTTCTCATTATACCTCACATGATATTTTCAATATTAATAAGGTTGATAACAAAACAAGCAATGGTGTGCAATAAATGACAACACCACATATCATATGCAAACTTGAAACTAGAACCTTTTGTTTGGAATTGTGAAGCCTTGTCAGTTTTGTCTGTTACTGTAACAGCCTTTTTATTCTCGGGTTTAACAATATATCCAGATTGAACCGAAGAAAATCAAGAATCCAAACCATAATCATAAAACAAGCAATGGTATTCTATTCTAGAGTACCACATAACAGATGCAGACTTAAAATAGAACCTTTTGCTTGGAATTACAAAGTCTTATTATTGTTACTCTCTAGTTTGATAGCATCTCCATATTGAATGGAAGAAAATTAAGAATCCCAAACATATCGACAAAAATTCAAAATGATCATAAACTTGTAAAAGTTAAATTTGAAACAAGAAAAGAACACAATATTCATCTATCAACCAATGTGTAATATAGTGAGGCAAGAAAGACACATAAAAGATGCAACAATTTAAAAATAACACACCTTCATTGTCTTTTGTTCGAAGCTGCTCAAGATGACCACCATACATGGCATTTTTAACTAGAATCTTTCTACCTCCAACAGCTGAACAATTCTTAAATTCAATAGAACGATTAGTATCTTCAATAGCAACACTTACAATTGAGAATCAGTATAAAAACTAGTACCACTTACAAAATCCAAAAAAAAATTATTAAAAAAGCAAATTTTACTTACAATTGAACATAGCCAAACCTTCGATGCTCACTTGATCCTAATATAAAAACAAGCAAAGACCGACCAAAAATAAAAGCTTAGTCTAGACAAAATATTTTTGCTACAAGAAATAAAACAACCATGATTTTTTTACTTCAAAATAAGCAATTTTAAAATCAATCCCATCCCATCTAAGTATTATTCTTTTGGTTGTCCACAATATTTAAAATCATAAACTTGTTTCAGGTGATCCTCAAATTCAACGTGGGCACTAGATTAGCCTACCTTTTTTGGTAACCATAAAGCATCTTCTTATTGGTCCAATCTTACTGAAAGTTTCTTCCATCAAATAAACATCGACAACAAATAATAAGACAAAACAATAAATAAATCCAAACTCACGGAAATATCTAGGGTTGGAATTTCATGACATTGGTAGCAGCGGCGACTCGCTATCGACAGGTCGAGGAAGACGGAGGCGGAGCGCGATTAACGGCCGACGAAGGTGAAGATGACGCGTCGTTCAAGGGTGCAGGGCGGAGAAATTAAAGTACGGTGGAGGATGTATGGGAAAGAGAAGAAGAAAAGGAAAGAAAAAGAAGAAGAAGAAGAAGAACGAAGGACGAAGAAGAACAAAGAGGACGAAGAAGAATAGAGAAAACGAAAAAAAAGATATGAATTGGGCGGCGCATTAGGGTTTATTTAAAAATGTTTTAATTTTAATTTTAATTTTAATTTTTATTGTATATACACTACCAAAAAAGGGGTCACTTGTAGCGGTTTTAAAGCCGCTACAAATGGCCGTTTTTTGTTATAAAAAGCTATTTGTAACGATTTTGTACCAGATTTTAACCGGTGCATATACTCGAGCTACAAAAAGTCTCTGTACCGATTTTTTCCGTAGTAAAAAGTGAGCGGTCAACGCACTTATAAAGCGCGTGGGAAATGTTGTTGTAACGGTTTTGGTAACGTCAACGTTGTATTTTTCATTTATTTGTAGCAGATATTTCTCGTAATAAAAGAATCGTTACAATATATGTTCATCCATTTGTAACGGCTTTTGTTACAGTATAAATTTCGTTACAACAGTTGGTTGTCATAAAACTATTTTAAACGAAATTCATATTTTTTGTAGTATTTGTAACGGCCATAATTTCATAACAAAAAGAATATCCTTATTTTTTCAATAATACCAAAAAATTATTATCGGAATCGTAAAACCTGTACGATGTGAAAAAATACTGCAAAATGACATTAAAAAATATAAAAATATTTCAGCAAATTTGTATCACCATCAGTTGCACCAACTACGCACTATCTAGAAACATAGCTATTACGCAATACGGCCTAACATATACAGCCAAACATAGCAACAAATATACAAATGAAGCAGAAAATGCAAGTTCAACCAACGGAAAAGATTCAGTCAGCATCAATCCACAGACAAAAGTTAATCATCATAGAATCACGTGCTACGCTGCAACGCCAAGTGGCAGACGAAGGCTTTTGTGTTTGTGTCGGCCCAGTTTCCGCTTTGAGCAATAAGATTCAATGAGTCATTTTTATGCAGAGACCAACTGAAAGATATGAAATTAATTAACATTTAAACTAAGATAAAAAAAAAAAAAAAACATAATAATAATAAGAGAGTTCTCTTTCTAATTTACCATCATTGCTAAGTTAATGTTTGAATCTGAATGTTGCCATGAGAGCTCTTCATAGACAGATTCAAGTCCTTTAATGTTGTTATAGAAGCTGAAAAAATGGTCTTTTCTAGCCAACCTAAAACAAGTAAAATACTCAATAATTTGGTGTAAGTTTTAAATTATATCTATACGCATAGTATTATTAGTGATGCTTCTTAACATAGGCCAATAGACAGTGTCTGTAATAGTATTATAAGTAATACATCATAATTTGGTGTATTTAGAATAGTAATGCTCACTATCCAGAACTGATGTCTGAATTGTGAGAGAAGCCCTGGCCTATCATAATTAGTTCACTTTAATCCCTAAATGGTGTGCTGCTTTTTGTTGAGGTTAAGTTGAAGTGTACATATTTATTGGCATCATTATTCTTACTAAACAGAGAACTTTGCAAGATCGTGTATAATCTTGTTAAAAGTAGAACCAAACTCAAATAAAGATATATAATTAGCCTGCCATAATCGAATTTAGCAACCACCTGAGAAGATCCAACAAAAACAACTAGGATTAATAATTTCTTTTGCTGCAAACCGTGATTTCAAACGAAGCACTAATCAAATCCATATTTCTTTTGATTGTTCCTACTTAATTAGAGTCCGCAATCCCCGATGATTAATCGGGTTGAATCATTTAATCACCAAAATATTGAATAGGGCATACAATGGACATCTAAAATAGCATTTAGCTCGTTCTCCTATAATAGTTTGGACACATCAGGAGTACCATTATATGTTTCTCCAAGTGCTAAGAAAATATTTTTGTAATTAGTATATTTCAAGTTATAGCAACTGATTTTTTATTTTTTTTTCATGCACCAAATTGAATCGAATTGTATAGGACCAAAAATAAATATATAATATAACAAGTTTCAATCGAAATGAATAAATTAATTAATGGCAATGCATGCATGTGACTTGAGTAATTTAAAAAAAAAAAAAAACTAGAATTAAGGAGAAAATCGTAAAGAAAAAATAGCAGTCTCAAGCTTGCCAAAGTTCACAGCGTGAACACATCCCTAGCCCTCCCCCAAATGGTCTCACATTCTTTACATTTGATGTATCCTGCAAATCAATTAATTAAAGTTTTAAATGATCACAATTAATATCACAATAATGATATATATATATATATATAAAAAGTACAAGTTTGAAAGCACACTGAACTAGACTGCAACATTATATGAATATGGTACCCCCCATTTTCAAAGATTAATTTGAAAGACTTTTTAAATGAAGGCAAGGGTCCAGATGAGTTGCAATATTATGGGGAGCATTTACCATCCTTTAGGAATCACATATTCTACATAGATATATATATATAGAATTACAATATATATATATATTAAGAAAATAGGTAAAAATAATGAAGATTAATAGTAAAGGAAATAAGTAATTATTTATTTAACTTTGAATTTGGCATCTTTGATAGCGTTGCGGTACACTGCAAAGTCTCGATTATTCTCTCTATGCCAATTAAGTTACAATTTTATAATGCGGAAAGAGAATAGTTGAGAAGAAATGAAAAGTTTATATAATTGTTCCAAAAAATGAAGTTTCAAAATCCAATCAAAACTAAACTGAAGCCACAAAAATAAATTCCAGATGAAGCGCAACAAAAAATTGAATGATTTAGAATGCAATGACAGAAATATGAATAGTTTGTGTGTGCGTGTGCAAGATTCATCACCAAACAACTCTGAAAGTAAAGCTTAAGCATCGTAAGTTAATACAAGTGCAAAATTTCATCCATTCATAGTTTGACACATAATAATCATAGAAAATCGTCAGTTTCGAATAATAAGAGATCATCGAGACATACTTGAAGCTTTCCATTGCTAGTTTCAACTACAAGATTCGTGTCACGTCCAACCAAGCAAAAACTGCTATCTGTTTCCAAATAGCACATCTTAACCACTTGCTTAAATATTAAAAAAAATACAATAAACCAACAAAGTAGTATCTTGCTGCTAGATGTGTGTCATAAATAAACACGATTTCCCAACTTGACACCCAACACATTATGTGAAGATCAATCTACAAGATTAAGGTCAAAATCATCTTGCAACACAAGAGCATCCAAAATCTATGCAAAGTGGCCATTACAAAATAATACATCACATCAACAAGTAATTGACACATAATTCAACATTAGAAGCATTATTGAAATACTATTTCCAGCAAAACCCTCCAATTAGTATATGTAAACAAAAATTATCAATCTTAAAATAAGAAACTAACTTCAAATCCTCAAAACCATGGCAAAAATTTCAAAGCAAGAAAACCCAAAAGGTAAATCGTATTTTAATAGAACAGCCAAAATGTAAATTATTGCAAAAAGAATAAAATAAAATAAAAATCATGAGACACTATAGACAAGGGAAGAAAAAATTTTGGTACACACTTTAAATCTATTTTAACAAAAATCTGAAATATGAAATATTGCAGCAAAAAAGATAAACTACCTTCAAAGCCGCACGGAGAAGGAAAGGAAGAACTTCGATGTTGATCCGAAGCGATGACGCACCATTAGCACCTGCAGTCGAAGTCCAAGAATGAGTAGGCAAGTGGATCGATTGAAAGGAAGAACTACGGTTGGCGTTTGAGGATGTGGGCAGCGAGGCTCGCTGTCAACAAGTCACGAAGGGACTGCGGAGTACGGTTGATGGCCGAGGCAAGTGGAGGCGGCACGCGGTTCAAGGGTGTAGAGCAGATTACAGCGCCGAAGGTGAAGGAAGACGTATGGAAAGAAGAAGAAGGAAACGAAAAAGGAAAGAGAAGAAGGAGATCGAAGAAGAGAATCAAAGAATAAAGAATAAGCATAGAAGGGGGATGGGCGGCGCATTAAGGAAAATGTTGAAGTTTTTATTTTTATTTTTAATTGTATATAATAATTTAAATTTTAAATAAATAATTATTTTAATTTTAATCTGCGTATATTAATATATAAGTATTATATATGTATATATGATATATTATTTAAGATTACTTTAGATTAGTTTAAAATTAATTAAAATTAAAATTATTGTAGTTGTAACGAAAAAAATACTGCAATAAAAGAAAAAAAAATTGACCATACCGAAAATATTATTTGTTACGAAAATATTCGAAACAAAAAATTGTTTTTGTAACAAAAAATTTGTAGCGGACGCTACAAATGGTCATTTTTTTTGTAGTGTAAATAATATTTTTGATGTGATATTTTGTAAATGAAAGAATTCATACTTATCGGTAAAAAATATTCCCTCCGTCCATTTTTTTTGGAGTTTTGTAGACTATTAAGAAATAATAATATTTTATCTATTAGTGAAAATGCTCAAGATTTTGACATTTTTGCTCTTTGATTTTTTGTATAAAGTAATTGTATGTGTAATAATATGTTTGTAATTTAAATAAAAGTTAAAAGTATTTTATTATTAATGTATGATTATTTTTACTAAAAAGATGAATTTTTTTTAGTGAGACGGACAAAAATAGTAAAAATTATAGTTTGAATTAAGACGAAGTAAGAGAAACTATTGAACTTTTTGCCATCGTTATGATCATGTCATAATAATGTAGTTAAAAAAATAATCAAACAAACATATGAAATAAAAAATACAGTAATTAAAACAAAAGTTAACAAAAATATATATATATATATATAATTAAGCAAATCATAAATATAAGTCTCACAAAATCAATATTTCAGTTTAAATTCAAACTTAAAGCTAGATAATTAATAACAACTACTAAAAAATTCATATTACATTAAAAAATCAAAATAAAATTTGAAGGAATTCATACTTATTGGTGAGAAAGTAGAAAAGTTATTGATTTCTTGTCTATCATTTTTAACTTGTCATTAGCCTGCAATTGGTCACAAAATATACCAAATAAAAGATACGAAATCAAAATAAATTTAACTACACATAATTCATAATAAATTAAAAGTTAAAATAAAATTGAAAGAATGTATATCTTTCAATGAAAAAGAAGAAAAAATATTGAACTTCTTGTTATCGTTCCTATTCCGTAATTAGAATGTAATTAAAAAAAAAAAATTTCAAACATATATCAAATAAAAAATATATAGTAAGTTTAGTTCACGATAAAAAGATATGTATATATACTTTTGGCGTACATGAGAGTACCAAATAAAAAATAAAGTAATCAAAATAAAAACAAATCAAGACTATTACACAAGAGAATCATAAATTAAAATCTCACAAAATTTATATCGGCACTTTAATTAAGCAAATGAATCATAAATTAAAACCAAATAAAACAAATAAATAAAGAATATTAAGCAAGTGAATAGTAAATTATTGTCACAAAATCTATATCACATTTTAAATAAAACCTAAGTTATACTAAAAACAACTATTCACAATTAATGGTGTGTTTGTTTGGGGAATTGGATTTTAAATACACTGTTCATCTAATTTCCTCCCCTTAAAAAAAAAAATATTAAATCAAATATTTATTTTTTATTTTTATATTATACTAAAAATAAATTTTACATTCAAAACATCACGTCAACACCTATTTATATTACATCATACACCTATTCAAATTCAAATCTCAACTCAAAATCCAAAGCCCAAACAAACACACCCTTACAATAATTTTGGTTGAAATTCAAGACTATCGGAGAAGAAGAAGTGAAATTCTTGATTTGTTTTCCCCATCAATTTCTCTTTAATCATCAGCATGAAATATGAAAAAAATGTACAAATAATATACTTCCTCTCGTACCATATAAATTGGCTATATTTTTTTTTATTTTTGTCGTCCACAAAAAATTTATCTTTTTAAAAAATATATATATAATTATACATTTTAATCTCATTTTATATTTTATAATTTATAATTTTTTAATCTTAATTAAATCATTTAGTTATTTTAATCTTAATCTATAATTTTTTATTATATAATAATTATGTTTGTTAATATATTTTTTAGTTACTTACTAATTATACTTTACCTAAATATTCGTAAAGTAACCCGAACAATTTATCTGGAAGGGAGAGTATAAAAAAAAATAATAAAAAAATAAAGCAATTTAAATATAAAAATAAACAACACTAATCATAAATCAAATGTTACAAAATTGATATCTCAATTTAAATTCAACACACGCTGGATTAAAAACATTTACACACAATACATAATAAATTAGAAAAAATAATAATAATAATAATACTCCCTCCGTCCCATAACAAAATATTTATTTTTTCATTTTAGTTTATTTTATAACAAAGTATCTATTTCTTTTTTTAATAACTTACTATCTAACTAACATTACAAATACTCCTGCAACTTACAATATATTACACAAATATCATTACATTTATATCATACATACTAATAATGTTATTTTAGTCATTTCTACTTTATTCATACTATATCCAAATATAATACTAATATTTCTAAAACTACTTATAAAAAGCAAATGAATATTTAGTTACGAGACTGAGAAAATATTATTTTTAAATAAAACAAACAAAAAATAAATAAATATATAAATAAAGACTTTGTTTACACAACATATTTTTATTCATTTGATATTATTTATTTTTTAAAAAATATCACATCAAATACATTTTTTCTCTCACAAAATATCAAATCAAATATTAATTTTTTATTTTTTTTTCAAACTTTTAAATTTTAAAAAACGTCCGAAAATCCGCTGGCTAAACAAATATTATAGCATTTGTTAGTAATGCGATTTGTCTTTTCATAGTATGATACTCCCGTCCCACGTACCGTGTCTGCTACATTGTAGACACGGTATTTTAGGAGAAATGTAATTAATAGATAATTAAAAATATATTAGTGAAAATAATTATTTGATAATATAAATAAATATAAATTAAAATTAAGATAACTAATTAATTCAATTAAAATTTTAAAAAAATAAAATTAAAAAGTTTAAAATGAGATTAAAATATATAATAATTTTTCAAAAAAGGAAAATAACATAATATATGGGACGAAAAAAAATGACAACGTGGACATATTAGTTGGAAGTAGGGAGTAATTTTTAGTAAAGAAATTTATTTCTATCTGACAACTTCAATTCGACATTGTTAAATAAATACAGGAGTACCATCCATCACGTGTTCCTGTCTGTGAGTTTCACTTTCGCGCAGTAACAATGGTGCGGGCCATCATTTTGCAAATTTCAAACTCTGTTTAAATAAATACTACTTCTCAAACTATATTGAAAATGTATTAGTGAAAATAATTATTTTATAATATAAATAATTATAAATTAAGATTAAAATAATTAATTAATTTAATTAAAATTTTTAGAAAATAAAATTAAAAAATTTAAAATGAAATTAAAGTGTATAATTATTTTTCAAAAAAAGAAAATGACATAGTATGTGGGACGGACAGAAACGACAATATGGACATGCTATGTGGGACGGAGGGAGTAATTTTTTTTTTTTGAGTTTGAAAGAATTTGGAAATAGTAAAATAATATATATATATATATATAAAAGAGCTCAAGGGTGACCCACATTTTGTAAATTTATATAATTCTGCAATCTCAGAATTTTGAGATTTTTTTTTTTTTTGATTTTTTTACAGTTTTACAGAATTATGCAGAATTATACAGAATTACAGTTTTTATTATTTGATATAAATGATAAAGGGGTGACGGTTAAAGAAAATGAACGGTGGTGGGATGATACAATTATATTTCATGATTAGAATATATATAGGATGAAGAAGAAGATGCGATAAAAGAGGAGCATATGGAAAAGATGATATACAGATGACAATAGAAAAAATAAAAATATTATGTGTACGTAATTTTTTTTTTCTTTTAATTTTAAATATGTGTTAGTTTTTTAATAGTTTAACAATACTAATACTTTTTTTTTTTCTTTCGTACAGATGAAGATGCATGTTCTAATATGTTTTTTTTTTAAATACTGATACTTTATTTTTTATATATTTATAATCTTTTTTTTTTACACTTTTGAGGCATACAGAATGACAATATGAAAATACAGAAAATGATATCAGATAAGTATTTGAAAAAAAAATTATTGATGAATTATCCAATTTGGTAGTGAAAATTTATTTCATTCTTTTGATTTTTCTCTTTTTTCTTTAATTTTAACTTTTTTCATTTAGATTTTTTTTTAAAGATTTTTCATATTATTTTTTTGTTATATTTATTTTTTTTTAAATTTAGATTTTTTTTTAAGTAATTTTACTATTACTTTCACAAATTAGTTTTATAATTAATTATTTTTATGATATATAATTATTTTTTTTAATTTATATTTTGTTATTAAAATTTTATTTATTTATTTATGAATTGCTTTAGTAAATATGAAATTAAAATTAATATATTTATTTATGTATTATTAAATATATAAATTTGATATATCATATATATATATATATATACTCAAATTGATGTATTAATTTGTATATATATTTTAGTAGTATACTTAATCTTTATAAATGAGGTAATTTGACGGGTTTCTTAAAATATGGTTTTAAGTGGATTTTTAATTAAGTGTTAGTGGAAAAAACTAATTTTTAAATGTGTTTTTCAATGTGCTAAGTAATTAATTTTTTTTTTTGTAATTTTTTTTTTTTTCAAATAATTTTTCTTATTTTTTTTCATATTTTTTTTCTCTATTTTTTAGGATTATTCTGATACTTTTTTTTTTTTTTTATAATTGATTATAGTTTCTTATAGTATATAAATTTTAGATTTTTCTTTGTTTATTTTGACGTGTTTTTCTTTTATTTTATATTTAATTTATTTTCATAGTGATTTTTTTTTATTTTATATTTAATTTATTTTCATAGTGA